GTCAAAATCTATTACAGTAGAACTTCTCCTTAAGTAGCTAGTTAGATTTGAAACAATAAATTGTTCCTAAATCTTTAGCTCCAGCCCAGACAGCTTTTCTGACCTCAGACCCATAGACCCACTGAACAACTCCATCAGGATACACAATGGCATCTCAAATTCAACATGCCCTACGTTCCCGTCAAAATCCTATTTACATTTTTGGACTCCCTACCATGGTAAAAGATACTAAACCACCAGGAGCTTAAATCAAAAATCTTAGAATTATCCCCAGTTCTTCACCTGTCTTAATTCATTACATCCGATCAATTATGGACACTTATCAAATCCATCCCCCCCCCCATTTCTCTCCTCTCCATCCTCCCTGTCACTCTTAATTCATATCATTATTAGTTCTCACTCTGCGTTCTCATAGTACATTGAATATAGGAACTTGTAAAATGCACTATTGGAGTTATAGTCATTGTTTTTCCCTCTCTTATACATTTTTCTATCTCCAGAATCCACCACAGAGCTTGACACACAGTGTGTCCCAATACCTAACTGATAAGAAATGGGAAAAAATATGTTACTGTGATAGAATGCCTGAGGGACTGAAATGCAGAAGAATCAGGTCAACCTCACTTACAGCATACATTTGGATATGTTTCTTTCACTTCCAGGTTTTGGTTTTCTCATCTTTAAAATCATTCCTCTTAACTAGATATTCTCTAGGGCTCCTTCAGCTCTGAAAGTTTCCAAACATATCTGTTTGAAATCAAGTTGTGTTAATGTAGTTCAAATTTTTCAGCAAAGCCCCAAAGTATCCAAAGTCTTCTAACCACCTGAGAAAGTCAACTGTCTTCCAAACAATAAACAATTTATTTCCTCATCACTGGCAGGAACACTTCCAATCTTTTATAAATAGAAATCTTCCAGTAATATAAACAAAATTGATTGAACCTAGAGATTGAGCTTTTGGAAAATATGAACAAATCTCTCGTGTCCTTTGGAAGATGAGTATGATTTTGAAATGTTTCATCTGAAGTCAGCCTGTACATGAAAATCCCACTTTGGATGTAAATGGCAGTGGTGCTCAGAGTCTTTCTGCTTAATCTCTAAAGTCGTTTGCTAAGTTCAAAAGTATTTAGCAAAATAAGTATTTTTAACAGAATCTGTGCTTCCCTAATAGCATTTGGAACTAAAAAAGACTTCTTGCTTATGGAATATTCATTATTGGCAATTTGGGGTACATCTGAAAGCCACAAGAATCCTCTGCTGATTATAGACTTTCTCCAATTTGTTATAGTGTGTTCTGGAAGCTACTCAATTTGGTCAAATTGGAGCCAAGGTATAACAGCCTCATACTGGAAACACATGACATGACAGCCAAGTATCATGTTATGCTGTGACATGACTGAATAGGAGAGATCATGTGAGATATTTGGAATACAGGAAGATAGTTTTTCAACTACTGTTTAGTCATTGTCAATATATAAGAAAAGCTGACATTAAGAGACTAGGAATATGATAACCCTGTGAATTCCACAACTATAATTGCATGTGTTTGCAAGACAGGAACAACTGGGTCCCAGGGTAAAGTCATTGATGACAAATGGCAGAAATTCAGCTTGCAGTGAATGTAATTCCAGCCTCTTCCTGCTAAACAAGCCCTGGTCATCGGAATGTCTGTAGCTGGTGTACAGAAGGAGTTGGTGCCATACGTACTACAAAAGCAAAATCAGTTGTATCTCAAGTTACTTCTAAATGGCAGCTTTAAAAAAAAATAAGCTTAAGTCAAAAACATCCAAATGACTTCAATTTATTTTGCAAAATTTGTCTTCTATTTGTTTGAAAAGTAGAACAGATTTAGAGACAAACACCCCTTTCTCACATACACACACACACATACACACACCCCCACACACACACCTCACACCCAGTCGCTCAGGACTTGACTAGTTTGTTTTTCTGGGATGTGCAGTTTGTACTGGCACGAGGTAGTAATTTGGCAGTAAGTTAAAGAAGTTGTTTGGTGAGCAGTTTAAACTATAAAAACTCTTGTGTAATTAAAAGTAATAAGTGACTATTAGGAGAGTTTTTGCAGTGGTTAAGAAGGAATGTATGAATTTACAGAAACAAATGGTCCATTTCCTTCAGTTCTTATTTCTAACAAACTCAGTTCTCAATATTAATATATACATGACTTTAAGCGAAAAAAAAAAAAAAAAGTGCTCTTTAACTCACAAAATAGCCAGTACATCCCAAGGCTCAAGCACCAGAACTGTATGCTTTGACAATCAGGCTTATGAGAAAGAGAGAAAGAAAGAGAGAGAGAGAGATTTGAAAATCATAATTTATCATTTAACAAAGAAGAAGACAAACTACGACGCCACACACATTTTTATTGCAATCAGATACAATCACAGAGGTCTATAAGACTGATACAGATTTATCAGAAAAATTGTCACAAGTTCAGTATTCCTTGTTCAAGGAAGCAAATGTGCAGAGAATACATTTTTGGTTACTAACATTTTCCAGTCTTGGACTTGAAGTGAGCAGTTTCAATTATGAGAAAAAAACATTTACACAGAAGAGTGGCTTTCATAAATGTGCCTAACCTAAAAAGCACTGCTGTGCATTTCTAAGGAAGCTTAATGCACTGACACACTGGAACTGTAAAGTGGTATATGTTTCATTTCCAAGAGACTATTGGGCACATCTACCCAAATAAATAGCTATAATTTCTCTTTTCTTTCCATAGTGACTTTGCCAAGGCCATGTGAGCCAATTCCTGGCTGTGTTTATGTGCATTAGCGTAGAAGTAATCACTATAACAGCACAAACTTCCTGATAAATCCAATTCGTGAAGATCTCCTGATAGCATGGATGATGAGTATGAAAAGAGAAATGTAAACAAGATACAATTTGTTTGGGTTTATGCTTGAGAAACAGAGGAAAATCAATAATGTATTTAGAGAAAAGGCAATTTTCCCAGGAAGCAGAAAGAAAAACTTTTACATTTCTAGAAAGGGAAAACTTGTCATATCTTTAATATTTTCATTCAACTTCAGTGATAATGATATTAATAGAAGACCTTTCTGCTAGAACACCTGGAGCCTAGTTCTGTGCTGCAGCTTTGAGGAGTGTGTGAGCTTAACCCTATCTCTCCCTTCCTGAACCCATTACTTAGGCCAATAATCAAAACATCCACATAAGGAGTGAGAATCTTCTCCTGAATCTTGTGTACTCTACACAAAGGGTTTCAAATTTGCCTGTAAAGAGCTATTGGTGGGTCTCCAAGCTTTACAGAATTGCTCACTGTGTAGATTAACTCACCAAGAGAGGCAGATGAGTCCTTGTGTACAGGTTGAAGGTTCCTGAGAGCCACAACCTGCTCTCTTCTAAAGGGGAAATGGGAGAAATTGGCTAACCACTTTGGCCTATTCCTTGTTTTTTTTTTTTTTAACTCCTTGCCAAATGTTCACTTTTCCTTTCTCACTTTCCTTTTTCTTCTCTTTCTTCTTGCCTCCTCCCCCTACTTTTTTTTCCTATTCTTTCTCTACCATCATCTTCTTCCTTCATCTCTCTCTCTCTCTCACTCTCTCTCTTCCTATCTCTCTCTTTATTTTTAGGTGGGTGTCTATATGGCTCAGGCTGGTCTTGAACTTCAGAGCTCAAGCTATCCTCCTGCCTCTGCCTCCCAAGTAGCTGGGATTATAGACATGAGCCACCACACCTGGCTCCTTCATCTATATCTTTTTTTCTACCACTTTCTCCCTCCCCACCCTTTTTATATTTAATGCTCTTCTACTCCTTTTTTATTTTTCCAATAACTTACTAGTGTCGGGCACTATTTTATGCAGTGCAAAAATAATTAAATTAAATTTTAAAACTCTGCAGACTCACATTCTAGGAGGTCACAAATTCCTGCCCAAAATGAGAAAGCATGAAACATATTTTCACCAACTACAGCATACCAATTTAATACATTCAAGTTCAATACTGTAATTGTTCATAAATATCACTTAAATAAAAAATTATCATATAATATCTTTCTTATAATATTTAAAATTAGAAATGGCATCTCATCAAGAACTTACTCCTAGTCTATACTATTATCAACGAAACAGTTTGCTTGACATTTTGGAATATTTTGAAGACATATTGACAGACAAAATATTATTGCATGAGTGTCTCTGGATCATTTCCCCAGGAAGTCTTTGATGTTGACCAACCTGACTCTGAGTACTAGGTTGGATTCCCTTTATTAACATTCTTATAACACCCTGCATATTGCTATTATTTAGTATTTGCCATTGATGACAGACTCAGGTATGTAAGAAACAATCACCTTATCACCTTATTTTCATAAATGAAATTAATTTGCTATGGCTTGAATATTTATCCCCTACAAAACTCATATGGAAATTTAACCTCCAATTTGCCAGTATTGAAAGGTGGGGCTTTTAAGAGGCAATTAGTCATGCATTAATGGACTAATAGGTTAATGGTTAATGGGTTATAATGGGAGTGGGACTGATGGCTTTATAAGAGAGACTTGAGCTAGCACTCTCAGCTTTCTCACTATGTGATGATCTGTGCCATCTCAGGACTTTACAAAGAGTCCCCACCAGCAAGAAAACTCCCACCAGATGCCTTCCCTCCAATCTTCAACTTCTCAGCCTCCAGAACTGTAAAAATTAAATTGTGTTTCTTAGACATTACCCAGTTTCAGGTATTCTGTTATAAGCAACAGAAAATGGACTAAGACATAATTCTAAATTCAGCCCTTCATTATCAATATCCATTGTCGATATGTTGCAATCATAATGTACAAGACTGAAATTTTTTCTCTATCATTTTGGGGCACTCTCTCACTCCAAAGATATCTAGGCTCCTGGATATTTACATGTCTATGGGCTCAATTGTTTTCCCCAAAAATCCATATATTGAAACACTAACCCCCAAATCCATATATTGGATTTGTTCCCCCAATCCATATATTGAAACACTAACCACGCAAAGACCCGGGCAAGGCGGACGCGCGCATCTTCAAGGCTTGGGCAGTGGCCCGTGGCAGGTGGCCACCCAGCAGCAGCAGAGGTGACCAGCCGGCCCCCGAGGCTGCGGAGCGCGCAGGCTGGAAAACCAACTTCCGCTGTGCGCTGCGCAGCACGCGGCAGTTTGTGATGCTCCAGGACAACTCGTGGAACTCCGCCGACCCTCACAAGGTGTATGCGCTCAGCTCTGAGCTGGGTGGGAGAGAAGGCCCAGGCATCGACCAGGGTGAGGAAGATGGCCTCGAGGGTGGCCCCCACACACAGGGAGGGCCCCCAGGGCCACTCCTGGCAAGAGGAGGCTCTGAGCTGCACAGCCCACACCCGGTTCCAGCTGGTGATGCGGGGAACCTCTTGCTCCAGGCCATGCAGCAGAGTTGCCTCGGGGAAATGAAAGCTGCGTGTGGGGGAGAGGCAGACCCCCAGCAGGCTCCTGGAGAGGGCCAGGAGGGGCCAGCCCTGAGCGGGGGCTGTGTTGGAGGCCCAGGGCTCCCTGCTGGGGAGCTGCTCAAAGCATGGGAGGTGCACGCATGGGCGGTGCACCGACCTAACGACAAGTTGTCAGTTCTGGCAGCCCTCTCCAGATGCAGGCCAGGGTGCGGCTCCAGAGCCCGGTGTGAGGCCGCCTCACTGGGCTGCCGGCCCCAGCATCCTCGCTGCAGGGGGAGAGCCCAGCCTGTGGGTGCTGGACGTGACCATCATGTACAAGGGCCGAGCAGTGCTGCAGGAGGTAGTGGGGCGCCCAAGCTGCTTGCTCCTGTACGGCCCCCCAGGCCCAGCTGTGCAGGCTGCAGAGCCCCAGCACGTGGCGTTCCCCAGCCCGGCGGAGCTCCCTGACCAAAAGCAGCTGCGCTACACGGAGGAGCTGCTGCGGCACGTGGCCCCCGGGCTGCAGCTGGAGCTGCGGGGGCTGTGGCTGTGGGCCCGGCGCATGGGCAAGTGCAAGGTGTACTGGGAGGTGGGCGGCCCCCTGGGCTCTGCCAGCCCCTCCACCCCTGCCCGCCTGCTGCCGCGGAACTGTGACACCCCCATCTTCGACTACGGCACCTTCTTCCGAGAGCTGCTGGAATTCCAGGCACGGCAGCGCCACTACACCATCTACCTGGGCTTTGGGCAGGACCTGTCTGCTGGGAGGCCCAAGGAGAAGACCCTGGTCCTGGTGAAGCTGGAGCCCAGGCTGTGCCGGACCTGCCTGGAGGGTGTGCAGCGCGAAGGCGTGTCCTCCCTCGACAGCAGCCTCAGCCTCTGCCTGTCCAGCACCAACAGCTTCTACGACGACATCGAGCACATCCTCATGGAGCTGGAGCAAGCCGCCTAGGGCCAGACCCCAACCCTCCCCGGTCCAATAAAAGAGCCTCCGAACCAAAAAAAAAAAAAAAAAAAATGTGTCTGTATTTGGAGATAAAGTAATTAGGTTAAAATGAGACTGTAAGCACGGACTTCAATCCAATCTGATTGATGTCCTTATAAGAAGTGATGATTAGAAAACAGACATGCTCATGCCCAGAGGGAAAACCATGTAAAAACAGAGGGAGAAGATGGCCATCTGAAAGCCAAGGAGAGAGGACTTAAAGAAAACCAACCCAACCAGCACGTTGAACCTGGACTTCCAGGCTCCAGAATCATGGGAAAGTAAATTTCTATTGTTCAAGTCACCTAGTCTGTGATATTGTATATGGCAGCAGCCCTAGCAAACTAATACAACATCTGTCTTAAGGTTACTTATTAATGAACATACCACATACTAGCTCCATCTCAGAGTCTACTTCCCAGGAATCCAAGCTTAGACAAGTGTTATTTGACTTTTTCTCAGGCCCAGTTCTCTGATACATGACTGAGTCCTGAAAAGAGAGCAGACTATCAGTTGAAACTAAGAACAACCAGATCCAATAATATATTGGAATTCAAGCAACATCACTTTGGAAGGTAACAGCCTGGTAATAGACTGGTTGCCATATTTACATTCAGAGACTAGTGAGGCCTTGGGAGATGGCACAGTATGTTATAAATAAAAACCATTTGGATCTGGGAATCAGATAAGCTCAGATTCAGTTTCAGCCCATCTTCTTATTGGCTACATGTCCTTGAACAAAACATGTGAATTCTTATTATCTCAGTTTCTGCACCTGTACAATGAGGGGAAGAGCACCTAACTTAGAAGGTCACTGTGGGGATTAAATTGAGCATCTCTCACATGCCTGTCACCAGGTCTGGCACCCCAGGAGGAGGAGCTCAACTAACATTTAGACAGGAGATGTAGAAAGTAAAGATCAGTAACAACTACAATGTCTTTCTTCTCTGATTTCTGCAAGAAGAAATTTTATAGATTTCTATAAGAAGAATATTTGGAAGGCAGTGGGCCACTTGGAACAATTTAAATGTTTTCCTCTCAGAGCTTTCACTCAGAATGAAATTGGTTTAAGGACAAAAGCTAATTCTCTAGTGGCACAAAGTCTTGCAATACTGAGAGTAGTTCTTTATGTGGGCTGTTGGCCCTACCTTGAGCAAAATTGCTGTCAGGGACTTGGATGAAAATATATTAATACAAGGAAGGCTGATCAAATCCACAAATTACAGGAGCAGGGAGGAGAGATACTTCATGACTTATCACACGAGATTCCAAAAGACTTTGTTTAGTTATCTCAGTATGCCAAAGTGGATTAGATACAATATAACTGGTATAAGAGTAAAGTCCAGAACTGAGATCCAGGATATTATTTTTTTCCAGTAAAGGATGGGAAGGACTTAATAATGATGCCTGTGAAAGTCTCCTAATAGTTTTCATTCACTAGAAAGAGCAGAATTTTCTCACATCTATTTTGTGCTTCCACAGAACATCATGCCTATGTCTGTAACAGCACACAGAACATTTTGCTATATCATTTGCTCAGAATCTGTCTCCATTTTAATCTACATGCAGTATAAAAACAGAGATTATATCTTGTTCATCATTAAATGATCTGGCATAAAGTGTATGCTTACTAAGTATTTGTTATATGAGTGGAAACACACATGAATGTAGGAGTATGCATCAATGGGATAAGGCCCTCAAAATCAGAGTATGAAAGAAACAAATGCCTACAGAGGGGTGGAGAGAAAAAATATCTATTTATTAACAACTTTCAATGAGGCTAACATCCAAAGATTACATTTTCCTGCATACCAATTCTGTAAGTATAATGTGATAAAATGGCACAGTGGTCCCCAATCTTTCTGGAACCAGGGACCAGCTTCATGGAAGACAATTTTTCCACATACCAGGTAGGGGATGGTTTCGGGATGAATCAAGCACATTACATTTATTTTGCACTTTATTTCTATTATTATTACGTTGTAATCCATAATGAAATAAATTATATAACTCACCATAATGCAAAATCAGTGGGATCCCCCAAGCTTGTTTTCCTGCAACTAGATGGTCCCATCTGGGGATGATGGATGACAGTGACATCCAAAGTGTCATGTATAATCTACTTATGTACAATCTACTCTGTAAACTCGTTTTGGCTGCTGTCACTGCAGAAAATCCTGCTTTACAAAGATAGGGTGTTAGAAATGGAAGCAGGTCTTTCAGTGCTTTTGTGGCAATCTCAGGATATTCTGCTTTGATTTTAACCCAGAATACATGGAGATTTGAAGTTGTCTCAAACATACATACTTTTAAGGCCACCATATTTTGTGAGCTCAAGTAGTTAATCCTCTTCTATTAATAGCATGGGCAAAGTCAATTTGCCTGGCTTATTCACAAATGAGTCACGGATCCATTCCTTCCCAGTTAAGGGGTCTTTTGTGGTTAGGAAGTAATGCTCAAACTCTTTTGAAAATCTGAGATAGGTGATCATGCACCAGCTGAGAGAAAGAAGTCCCTGGCTCGGTCTCTTTCAAAACGTCTGCTAATATTTGAAACATTTCAAAAATCCTAATGTTCACTCGTCAACCCCATAATTCCAGTTTGGCTTTGAATGCAGCCACTTTATTTGCTGACTTGAATGCAGTTGTTGTTTTCCCCTGAAGTGACAGATTGAGTTCATGGAACATGTTGAATATGTCACACCAGTAAGTAGGTTTTGCAAACCATTCTATGTCACTGAAATGTGCGGCCAGTGGTGAGTGTTTTTCTAAAGGAAATCTCTGGAGCAGCTCTCATAACTCAAAAACTTTGGCCTGTGATCTACCTTTATAAAGCCATCTCACTTCTGTGTGTAAGAGAAGGCGTGTGTGCTCTGCTTCCATCTCCACACAGAGCTGTGCGAACAGATGTGAGTTAAGGGCATGTACTTTAATGTGTTTGATAATGTGCCACTTTTTGAACTGCAGCCTCTCCTAAAATTTCATGGCATAAATGTTGTTAGCAACAGGCAGGATCAAGTCTTCACCAGTAGTAAAGGGCTTCTTAGCTTTAGCAATGTGGTTAGCCATGAAGAATGATGCTCTTAGTGCAGACACATTTGACAAAGTTGTGGACTTCAATAATTGCTTCTGTTCCTCATGTTCATGTTTTGTTTCTTTTGAAAAACTCCAAAGGCTTGTTTTTTAATGCAGGGTGCTTGGTCTCCATGTGGCAAAGCAGTTTTGAAGGATTCATGACTTCATTGGATAGCAGGTCACTACATATTACACAAAGTGGGCTTGGAGAATGTGAATCACCTGTTGCAATGAACCCACAATTTAAGTAGGACTCTTGGTATTTTCTTTTAACTGTAGCTTTCATTTTGTTGAAAGGCTTAGAGCCTTCTGTTATCTCATCATTGGATCTTTCCCCTTTTTCAAAGAAACTCTCCAGCGATGTTTGTTTTTTACTCATTTTTACTTAGGGTCAGCTTGTGGGCTTCCCAAAACTGTGACTGAGACAAGTGCTCAGTGCAGGAGAGAGGCTGGAAGTGGTAAACAAAATAATGGGTGGGCTGCATCTAGACTAAAATAAGTGTTGGATTATGACTTAAAGCCTGCCACCAAATGCAGCTGTACAATTTAAGTACATCAACTCATTTGCCACTGTAAAGCCTGCCACCAGATGTAGCTTAATTATCACTTGTCACTCACTGATAGGGTTTGATATGAGTCTGGAAGCAATTGATTTATTATGGTCTCTGTACAGTCCAACCTCTCTGCTAATGATAAACTGTATTTGCAGCGGCTCCCCAGCGCTCACATCACCACCTCAGCTCAGATCATCAGGCATTAGATTCTCATAAGGAGCATGTAACCAAGATCCTTCACATGCACAGTTTACAGCAGGGTTCACACTCCTATGAGAATCTAGTGTCACTGCTTATGTGACAGGAGGCAGAGTACAAGCAGTGAGCAATGGAGAGCAGCTGTAAATACAGACGAAGCTTCCTTCACTTGCCCTTCACTCTTCAATCACCTCCTGCTGTGCAGCCCGGTTCCTAACAAGCCACAGACCAGTACCGGTCTGCATCCCAAGGGGTGGGGACTGCAGATATAGCATTTTCTGAAGTATGATCCTCACTTACAAGGTACAGTAAAGAAAATAAATATTGGGTTTGAGGGCATTGTTTCTGTGTTGGAAAATGGTCATTAATTTATTAATATTCTAGCACTTTGAGATTCACAATGTACCATATCATGTTAAGGGCTCTAAGAGGTTCTACGGCAAATAAACTTATTTAGCCTTGTTATCTTAATATTCAGCCCTGTTGTTGATGAATTAATTTAACCATGGAATCAATTTTATGTATGAGAGATACTTAATAACCTCCCAAGGAAAGCACTAGGAAATGCTATTGGAGTAGGAGGTTGAGAGCTGTGGGTTCTTGTCATGACTCATAATTACTGACCTCACGTCCTTGGGCCTAAAGCCCTCGTTTTTGTGTCTCTAAAATGAGTTGTTAGTGCTGGATTTCCTTTCATCTTTATCACTGTCATGCTTTATGATCCATGGAATTGGGAGCATGCTCCAATAGTATTTGTAAGTCTGGTAGTATAGTGGACATTACTCCTTCTCCCCAGTACACAGTTCTCTTTTCCTTTCTGTGTAGATGGGAGACTATGCTTCCCAGCATGTAGGCGGTGGGGAGCATGTGTCTAGCTCTGCCTAATAAAATACAACTAATGAATATTAAGCACGTGGCATTTCCAAGCTGAGGCAGTGAAAAGTTCTGCATCATACTCCGATCTCCCTTTGCTCTGTCCCAGGGATTCTGGAGAAAGTCCCACATGGAGATAGTGGAGTCACAAGACTGAGGTAGTGTGGACTGCTGAATCACTGCCTGACAGCGGCCCTGGAGGGTTGCCTGGACTTCCAGCTGACCTTGTATGAGTGAGAAATAACTTGAGGTGTTAAATCACTAAGATTTGGG